TCAATTCCGTTAAAATTGCGGCTTAACTTAGTAGGCCTAATTTGGTGGCATCGAGGAGGTGGGGATGTACAAAATGAAAGATACTTGATATCTGTATACTTTTCTTTCGATTATCGAAAACAAACTCGTACTGCGCATGGACTAGGAGAGTCTATATAACAAATTTCAAGTCTGTAGCTTCATGAGTTCTAAAATGCATGTGCTCATACATATGGACTGTCGGATAGACGAACATGACTAGATCGACTTTATGGGGTAAGATACGCTACCTTCTGCCTGTAACATACACAGAAACATTATATCTTGGCCAATTTTCAATGGGTTAAGGGTATGAAAAAAGTTTAAAAAAAGAATAGCCCCTTTCGCTAAAAATACGTTACAATAATTCTTTAATAATACAAAGGCGAAAATACCAGTGCGACAACAAATTTTACAACAAGATCAACACTGCCACAAAATAAATAAGGCACCTACAACAGACTACAAAACTGACACCGAAAACTGAGCTCACTTATATAGACATCTATAGAACAAATAGTTTCAACCTCCACGTCAAACAGCGCCGACGTGTAAAACAATGTTTATTGTAAATTATATTTTAAATTATAATAATTCATTAGTTTCATTTAATTTATAATATTGTTAATTGCTTTATGTTTTTGCTTTCGTACCCTGAAGACGGTTACCGAAATATATCGGTGATAATTCAAGCAATATTTGGGTTTTTCATTTTAATTTATTTTTGTTTTGAATAAAAACCCGGGACCTCGAGCCAGCGAAACAAATAATTAATAATTATTATTATGGAAAAGTCGCCAAATCCAGCTTATTTATACAAAATTTATCTTTCCTTAGAATACATACTGATTTTATATTCACCTTTCTTTATAGCTTTAGGGTATAAAAAAAATAGATCCCTCAATTGAACACGACCAAATTGAACACGCGACAGACTACACTTATTGCCACCACTCCTACTCAACAGCCCAACTAACAATTCAAATGCAGTGAGGGAAAAACAAATTGATATAGAAGCACATACATACAGCACAGTGTGAAGTCGTTGCTCATACATCCCAGGAATGTGAACAACGTGATAGAAAAATAACGTTTCACATATGGCGACCAAGAACAACTAATACGCAGCCAGCTAATTAGTATTCGAGAGGTGAATGCCATTCAAGAGCACAGCATAGCGAAAATCATGACAACCGGCTAAGGAACAGCACTTAGCGAATCCTACACTGATGGAGGATGGTAGTGAGTAGTTAACGGACTACGCCAAATGTGGTATGTACGATTGTGGACGTCGATAGTAAGGAGAGAATGCATGCAAGCATTGACCGGAATAATGAAAGGCGACACCGATGTCGCACCAAACAGTGTCCAATATGTAATGAACAACACGCAGTCAGGGACTGCAACGAGCTTAACTTAGGCTCTCCGCTCAAAAGGTGGACGTTTGTGAAAAGGTACCGCATGTCTACGAGATGGCCACATGGCAAATGATGAGTCACAATGCATCGCAGCCAGCAGCAGGTAGAGTAAAGAATACTGGACGGATGCCGCAGCCAGTGGATCCGCACACAAGGGTACCGAAGCCAGTGAATACGCAATTGACACAACAAAGGAAGTTATGTCGATTCGGATGGAGAACGCTTACTATACGACATATTTCAATTGACATTGCACTGGGCTAATAAGCGGATCAATACGTACGCGCTCCTCGACGAGTGTTCGTCTGTAACGATGATCGACGACGAGCTACTGCGCGATCTAGATAAAAGGGGAACGCAGTCAATAGAATATACAGTGGTTTGGTGGAAGAGCAATCAGAAAGCTGACCACAGTGCTTACCTGAACTTACCAATGCAATGTCTGCATCGACGTGGCGTCCAAATGTTGGACAACGGTGCACGACTTCCAATAAATCACGGGGCGGTACCAAAACTTCTCATTGGACTTAACCATGCGCATCTTGGAGGGGTGGTTTTTGGACCGGTAAGAGGTCAAACAACTGTAACGTCATTAAAGTCATGCCTGCTAGCAGTGTCGCAAGTGGATGAAATCCAAAAGATGGTAAACGACTATTTTGATATCGAGAACTTTGGTGTGAAACTTACGCCACCAGTCGCAGCTATCGACGATGCACGAGCACAGACAGATTAGTTGCCAGACAGATTAATTATGGAAGCTATGAAGCTATGATATGGCATACGAAGATTGGTCAATATTAAGAGAAAGATGAAACGACGTAACGATCAGTTCAATCGAACATAGGCACGATTATGTTAATAATGAATATGCTCGACGATTGGAGCATCATGAGGTCGCTTGCGCCAACAGCGACAAACTTCGGTATCTGCCGCACTTTGGAGTTTAAATCCGAATAAAACCGGAAAGATAAGACGTGTGTTCGACGCGGTAGCAAAGGTCGGTGACATTTCATTGAATTCGGCATAATTCAAGGGGCCGCAGCACCATAAGTCGCTGCCAGCTGCTCTCTTCCATTTACGGGAAGGTGCCGTTGGCATTTGTGGAGACATCCGAGAGATGTTTTATCAAGTGAATGCCCTGCAGTATTAGGCTCAATACCAGTGCGAGCAATGCAACTGAACGTTTTTGTCGACGCTAGCCAGTAGTAATCGCAGCTGTAACGTACTTAAAAGTCACCAATGAAAGCTATGTCAATTCCACGACTGGAATTGCAAGCAGCCGTGTTAGGGCCGAGGCTGATTGACACTGTCAAAAAAGAGCACAGTATAGCGATCAGCGGTGCTGTTCTATGGACTTATTCCAAAACAGTGCTGCGTTTGGTAGGAAGTACCCACCGTCGATATAAGCAGTTCGTTGGAAATCGAGTGGGAGAAATTTTAAAATCAACAAAGGTTTCCCATTGGAGATAGGTACCTACAGCTGAAAACGCAGCAGTCGACGCAACCAGCCCGTTTTGCCACGCATACCTCAGCCAACGGTAACGATGGTTAGACGGGCCAACATTTTTACGGTAGTCAGATAGCAGATGGCCGCAGCCCGAACCATGCAAGGAATGATGAATCAGTCGGTCCTCGAAGCGACATAAGAGGGATGGTGCCCTACTTTAATGACAATGGAGTCTTGCGTGCGTATGGCAGGATTGATGCTGCACTGTGCGAGGAGACTGTGACTGTGAACAATTACCATGTGTAAATGAAGCATCAAAATGTGGATGCGACAAGGGCGACATCAGGACCAGATTTTGGATAACAAAGCTGCGTCGAGTATTACGTACAGTAATATCTGGATGTAGTGTGTGCAAGCTACATAGAGGGCAGCCAGCACCACCTATAATCGGTTCTTTGCTAGAGGACAGATTAGAGGCCAATGGATGGCCATTTAATTTTAAGGGTCTGGACTACTTTGGACCTTGGACACTTGTTATGATTGGACGTCAAAAGAAAAAAATATGGGTTGCCGTGTTTACGTGTGACAACGAGGACCATTCATTTGGAGATGGCACATTGTATTGGCATGTTTCCGCCATTTCTTAAATGTTAAGCCTTTTACTGTCGTGAGTTCGAAGGCCGTAGGAGAATAGACTGCGGTAAGATGTAATCCGTTCAGAATAAAACACTTGCATTTACATCAGCACTTGCACTGGCATTTGAATTTGGACTTGCACTAGCACGTTTTGCATATGCTGTTTCTATTAACATCGGAGTAACATAGCCAGGGGCCAAGTGTAAGCCTTGCAGTGTTCCAACTTCGTTTGGCACACGACAATAGCTTTTAGTATAAGGTGACCCAAAAGCTGTAAATATTGGCTAATAAATAACTGAGAACTAATCAGAAAAATATTTTCGGTGTTTTCACAGTTTCATATGGAGAAAAACGGCTAACATTTTTTTCAATTTGTTGTTTAGCTGGCTCGAGGTCCGGGGTTTATTTATTCAAATCCAAATTGAAACGCAATTTTGTTATAATCTAACCAATATATTTCGGCTGCACTTCGGCAACCGTCTTCAGGGCACTAGTTTGACGATTCGTCTCTTATTGATGTGGAGGTTGAAACTATTTGAAAATTCAACAGATGTCTGTATATGTGAGAGCAGTTTTTGTGTCCGTTTTGTAGTTTAGTCGTCTGTTGTTTGGTGAGTTTATTATGTGTAACTGTTCTAATGTATGTTTTTGTTATGGTGTTGTTCTTGTTGTAAAATTGCCGTCGCATCGAACTTTGGTGTGCTGCTTTTCATACAGTGTATATATAATACATAATATAATATTGTATACTATCTTGATGTCTTAATTTGAAGTCAGATTTGTGTTGGGTTATTCTTGTTTTTAGTTTGGACTTTGTTGTGCCGATGTACACGTTGTTGCAATGATGGCTTTTATCCCTGCCACATGGTATTTTGAAATGACATTACTTGAGTTAAGTATTCGTCCAGAGGCTATGGGTTTCATATACCACTTAATTTTGAGTGAGTTGTCTACTCTATTTACCAAAGTGTCTAAGTATGGTAGCTTCCCGTCTTGTTTTAGTTCCACTGTGAGTTAAATATGTTTGTGAAACAAATTTAATTCTTTTGAATGTTCTTTTCTCCTGTATTGCTCGTTACAGTCATCTACATACATTGTCAGAAGTTTGGGGTTTCGTTGTCAATTTATCAGTCATATTGTCTAAAAGTTCCTCCATTATTATGTCAGATATTACGGGCACTAATCGATACCAGCGCAAAAAATTAAATAAATCTAAATAATCAGATTCTTGGTTTGAAAAGCTTGAGATTTTAAGATTAAACTTAAAGTTAAGTCAGAAGTTTCTGTAAAATCTGGAATCACACACACAGCCTAAACTTTTTTTATACGGACAGACTACGAGACTGCAAGACGCTCTGTTTCCGATGATCCCTTAATGATTATAAAACTTTTGTAAACAATGAAGCTTAGTTATTCATTTAATTTTTTAAAATCGTTTTAGATAATCTAAAATTTACTTATAACTAATATGGTTATCTTACCTCTTCACAAAGAGCAAGCATTCGTCGGGTGCTTTCCAAGGACTGCAATAAAATGTTAAGATATTCGTTTAAGACATTTCACCTTATTTCTTTTTATTAATTATTAATTAATTATTATTGATTATTATTATTAAGTGCTTGGAAAATAAACATAATAATAAACGTAATGTGTGTTCTGAGACTCCTTTGGCACGAAACTAAATTGGCAAAAAAGTGTCGTGAGACATTTTTTCGTTTTACATCTGATCGGCATGAAAATCATATTCAAAGATCTTTATGGAAACTCATCTAATACGTTTTTCAGACTTTTCGTTAAAAAATGCAAACTTTAAACTTTTTTGCAAAGACTATATAAAAATAAATGAATTTGTTTCTTAGCGATTTCGAATATTCCGCCCGTAACTTTGGTAATGCGGAAGAATATTTTAATTATTTGTTATTTATCGGTTTCAAACTCATATAAAAAAAGTAATTTAATACGTTTACGTTAATGTAACCACTCTTAAATGAAAAATGCGGGTAAATGTATAATAAACTTAACTTATTTTTCTGCTTGACAACTCTTACCACAAGACCTTCTTCTTCTTTATTGATAGCAACAGTGTGTTATTTATTCCATGCATTTTCAATATATTGTTAAGTAGAAGTGGTAATCAATTCAACTAAGTGTAATGTCTAAAGTATGTAGCGAGAGACGGATCACGGGCAAGGCCGGACTATAACCGCTATTGCTAAAAATATTCTCATGTATCTCGCATTAGTGGACATGTTCTAATATCTCAAAATATCGTTTGACGGTTATATACACGAGAAAATATTCCAAATCTTAAGTTTAAAAAGCGGCGTTTGGCACTACATCCTGTGTCGCCATACACAATAGAGTCTTCCTTTGGCTAAAGCAAAGCGTTCTTTCAAGTTTAATAACAGTGGGTATCTTAGCAAAATCTACGCCGATACCCATATCAACCAAATCATTCAAACCTGTTACAAAATTCTGGAGACCTTTTTGAATTTTTTTTATACATGTTTATTGTATTGATTCAAAAATAAAATACATTTTCATTTCAAGACAAAGTATTGGAGTGTCTGAATCCGTGTCCGATTTGTACGAGATGCAATTCCTTAAACGTGGATACCGTATCTGTAAGTTCGCGCCACCACGACGTTGTAAACTGACCGTTTGCAGCAAAGTTGCAATGTGCTATGAGGCTTAGTAGCCAGTTGTGCTTGGCGATCTTAAAGCGGCACTGTTTAAGAAGGCCGTCGATATGCGCCCGAAAGGTAAGACTCTAATCTAATACAATTAAAAGATACTTAGCGCTTATGCCAGGGTAAAGGGGGCTGCCATCTATCCAGACTGCTCGAGCCTTGCCACGTCTCAGTGTGTAGTCTGACCGCCACTTTGAGGCATTGTGCTTGATGTTCCACCTGCGACCCCAGCTCTCAAGCAAGTGCCTTCGTACTCACAGTGGGCGGACTAAAATATTGCCACGTCGTTATGGCCACATTTGGTCATCAAGTGTATGTCAAGTGTTTTCTGGGGTGGCGAACTCATGTAGGTCAGCCGGAGTCGAGATGTTTGCCGTGAACAAATTGTAGACGAAGGGACCCAGTACGGTGCCTTGAGGGACACCCGCCCCCAACAATTAAAGCAACTTCTGCTGATGTCCTGATCAGCCTGACTGTAAGCGGAACCGAGATGGTAAAAGTAAGAGACAACCGACAACATCAACTGACATATAATTTGATTATCTCGAGCGCATAACTCCTTGCCGAAGAAAGATACTCTTAGCCGCTTTCTCCTAAGCAAGCGTTATATTAGGAGGAAAATATACAGCTTCGAGTCGAAAGGTCTCCAAGGTTTGAATCATGCACAACTAGCTTTCTGCTAAGGACTTGTCATATTCCAGATGTTTGACTAAAAATTAAGAACTATCCATATACCCAAGGCTGGAGAATGGACTTCAAATCCATTTGTCTGTTGTTCCTTCATGCTGACGACCTTTCACTGGGAACCACTGGGAACACTGGGAACCACTTTTAAATCAGAGCTCGCAATTCGCACATGCATGATCCATGAAAAATACGCTCTGATAGCCCTACAGTATATTAAATGCTACTACTGCACACAAACATGCTTAGGGCACGAGTCGTCTTTAGTGCCTGGTCTTTTTATAAGGCAAGTTTTTGATAGTTTGAAACAAGTTTATACTGTGCGGGATATACAATATCATCGTTCTGATCAAGAATATATACTCTTCAAGAAATCGGGAATGCTTCCTTTTGCCTGCTATTGGTACAAAACCAAAACATCCTTTTCAATGGATTCAGGGAGAAATTTCTGGTTCAGTAGAGAGTATGCAATTGTAGGGATCAGAGAGCCAAGACCGTTTCTGTGCTTTCTAATGCGCATAGTACTAGATCAATCCTCTAGTCAAAATCCGTAGCCTGCAAGTATGTAGCTTCATAAAACTGGGGACTGGAAGCCCCGCACAACACAAGGTCCAACGGGGTGCAAAAACTGCAAGAATTTCTGTATACATGTAAATTCTATCACCGGCATTGATATTGCGAATGTGTTGATTTTTGTGCTGCTCTTTTAATCCGTTGTTTTTTTATTAAGACTCAATTATAGGATTGTTGAGTAAAAGAGGAGGCAAGTAGTATGGTCCCTTGCGAGTTCGAACTCTACCGAGCATTTTTTTTATTTTTTTACCCTGTACTCATTAAAAATGGGTCAATAGGGTATATTGTATTTGTGCGAAATCCAAATGTATGTAACAGGCAGAAGGAAGCATCTCTGACCCCATAAAGTACTTATATATATTCTTGATATTCTTGATCAGCATCAACAGCCGAGTCGATCTAGTCATGTCCGTTTGTCTGTCTGTCCGTCAGTCCATCTGTCCGCCTGTTCGTATGTATGAACGCAAGGATCTCAGAGCCTATAATACTTAGCTTGAGACCTGAAATTTTAGGTGTAGGTCCCCCTAGTGCCTGCGCAAATCGAGACTTATAATCGATAAAAAATCTATATAAAAATTCTGTTTTTGGTCAATTTTAATAAGCAATAAGAGCTAGAGTAACCAAACTTGACATACAGCTTCTAGAATATTATATATATTTGCATTTGGTGTTGGAAGAAAAGGGTTCAGGGTATCACCTAGTCGGAAGCTCCCAACTAGAAACTCTCACTTGTTTTATAATATTTTAGTTATTTGTTTTGGCACAATAAAGCATAGGCAGCTTGTTTGATTGGTAAAAAATTGTATCCCAAATATGATTGTTTAATTTGTGAAAATAAAACTATGCTTGTTTCGATCACGGCACCGCCGACGTTGGCGGGTTGATTGGTGATCAACGCACAGCTCAAAAGATGGAATTTTCACTGTGGTTAACTTAATTGATGAAGGAGCACGTTAAGACGTGGTTGCATATCTAGTTTGGAAAAATCGCAAAAAACGTTTGTATGAAACTTTTTGTTTCAATTCCGATCGGCCTTAAACTCAATGTCAAAGATCTTTATTCAAATTCATTTGAGAGGTGTTTCACAGTTTTCCAAATATGTATTCCTACTTGGCGGAAATGGGAGTTAAATATTTGGCGGATGACGTTTCGCGTGGAAATGGGGGTCAATGGCTTGGTGGGGGAGGATTCAAGGATTATTTGGACAATGTTTTAAAATTTTTCCGATTCACTTTAAACTTACTTTCAAAGCTCTACATAGGAACTAAGGGCATTTGGGAATTTCGATCCGCAACAGTGGTAAATTGGAGAAAAAGATTGTATTCAAGTTTTTTGTTTACCATCCGATCGGTCTCAAACTCATTTTCAAAGATATTTGCTTAAATTCAATTCAGGGGTGTTTCACACTTCTTGAAAAAGCCATTCCTCCTTTGTGAGAATTTGGTGGGTGATTTTTCGTGTTCAAATTTATTTCCTAATATCTATACGAACAATCATTTGAAATGTGTTTCAGATTTTTCGCAGAATAAAAGCAGCCTCGATAGAAAGATTCTAAAACTTGTTTGGAGAAGTTTTAGGTTTAAAGCTTTTTTTTATACTTGTTGTCCAAGTTCTACATAAGTACTTAAAGAATGCGAGTTTCAGCGATTTGGAAAATTTCACCCGCGACAGTGATAAATTGGTGGTACACGATTTAAAACATTTTTTTTTTATTTACAGTCCGATCCGTTACAAGCTCATTATACCTTGAACCAATTGAAAATGGTAAAAAGGTTATTATGTATTTGTGCACATATATGTAACAAGCAGAAAGAAGCATCTCTGACCCCATAAAGTATACATATTCTTGAACAGCATCAGCAGCCGAGTCGATCTAGTTGTGTCCGTCTGTCTGTCCGTTCGTGCAATCTACTATCCGTCCGTATGTATGAACCCAAAGATATCAGAACCTATAAGAGCTAGAGACTTACAATTTTAGCTGTAGCCCCTCCTGCCTGCGCGGATCGAGTTTGTTTCCGATTTTCGATTACTTGCCACGTTTCCAAGTAATCGATAAAAATCGATATTGAAATCCTGTTTTTGTTTATTTTAGTAAATAATAAGAGTTGGAGTCACCAAATTGATATGTTACTTCTAGACTAGTATATATATATGAAGTTTCTTTCATTTTAAAGCTATCACTGCCTCCCCTTATAGCTATAAATCAAGTTAATAACCGATTTATGCTGCCCACCACTATACGACACAATTTAAACGCAATTGAATACACTAATAATCTATAGTATAAAAAGATATACTGTAGAAAATTTCATTTAGAGCAGTTAAGAAAAAACGAAAGTTAATTTTTACTGCGCAATTGGATGGGACAGCTAGTACAAATTGTAAGAATTTCGAATTCTATTAACAACATTGCAATTGTTTTTTGTGCTGATATTTTATTAGTTTTTTTTTCTCAATACACAATTATTGGTATAGCTGTTGAAAGGCATAGCAAGTGGTGCGGTCTGTCGAGAGTTCGAGTCCTGAAAGGGCTTTTTTTGGCTTGTGTGGCTATTGAGTCGAGTCGGCGCAAGAAA